GAATTTCTTTTCTTTCTCGCCATCTTTGTTTATCTGTTCAATAAAATCTGAATCAATTTCTGTTATGTAACATTGATTTTCAGAAAATGCCTTCATTGCAATTATTCTTTTATTGCCGTATTCAAATGTGTGTGTTTCAGCAAGAACGATATCATCAAAATCAAAAGTCTTTCCAATCATACTGTCCAGGAAGCCATGTGTAATTTCTCCCTTTCTGTATTTCATTGAATATTTATAATTCTTTTTATCGAAAGAAGAAATATCACCCAAAAAACGTGTCAGTTCTCTGTGATTGTCAATCAAACTATAATCAGACATGGAATTGTTGTTTTTTGTAAAATATTCCGATATCTCCAGTATCTTTTTCCTTTTTGTCTCTAACTGAATTTGTAGTTGTTCCATTTGAGCATTGGTTGTAGTCAGATTGTCTCTTAATGCTTGTTTGTGGCATTTTTTAATTTCCTCTATATTTGCCACTATTTGTTTACAATGTTCCTCTAAATTTTCTATCTGTAAATCACATTGGTTTTCATTTTCTTTGATCTGTTTTGATATATTCTCTAATTTGTTGTCAATCTGTGGTATTTTCTCTTCGTTGATCGTTTTCAGATGTCTCACTAGACTCTTCCTCATGTTGCTGGCTGCAGAAAATATAGTATTCCAATCATGATCCCTGTGATCTGTTTTAGCACATTTAACACAAATAAATCCATCACAGTCCTCACATGTAATATCAATTTGTAAATCATGGATTTTACACATTTCAATATGCTCTTGAGGGGAGCCTGGTAAATTTTTCGGCTTACTGTCTGCCATATTTGTTCACAGGCTACCTAACAGAGGTGAAAAGTAGGGCGATCAGGTAATAAAAGTATTACGCATGCAGCGTGCTGTTGTACTTTTAACAATTTATCCTCGGCAATATTTGCAAAATAATCTATACAAGATATCGCTTTTCAAGTACACAATGTTTTGTGGATGTTTCTTTAAATTTATACGAAGACCCTATATGGGATTGTAGTCGTGCGGGATAAACTTCAGACATACTGTGATACAACATATTCGAAAGTGATCGATGTATAACAAAATTTGGATTCTCACCTAAAATTTTGATTTTCAACTTAACTTAAGGCCTACGGGTATTCACTATATTAACTCTAAATATAACACAACATTGTACAGTACAAAAGTACGTACGTGTATATATCATACCAAAAATTGCATAAAAATAGATACCTAACAGAGATAAGTGTGTGAGAGAAACGAGAGGACATTTACTTCCTAGTATCATAGCAAGAATTGCTTAAACATAGATACATGTACATAACAGAAATAAGTGTGTAAGAGATTTCCTTGTATCAGATAAAAATAGTCAAAGATGCTGAGTGAACTTATCACCTGAGAAATGCGGTGAGGGTGTTTGCATGAGTGTGATGAAACTTGATTTCGTCAGGTCATTTTTGGTCATAGAGAAAGGTAGCTGCAGATCTGTAGCGTTATGGTTTATATATTTGTTTTTGACCATAACGCTACAGATCCCGTAATGCAAAAAAGGTGCAATTTACGGCGCAATATTTTTTGCGCTCTTTCGAGGAGAATTTCTTCACTTTCTAGCATTGGTCAATCAACTACCCTTCACTTCCTAATTCTAGACACATTCTGTAGCCAATATTTATAATTTATCCACCTCCCAACCATTTATAGTTGTCTCTACAGGCAATAAACTCTCTTTAAGTAAATTTTCAGCAATCTAACACATAATTTTAATCAAGCTAGTTTAATTATCACTTGTAGAGACGACTTTAAGGGTTAGTAGATGGATAAAATATACAGATTAGCTAAATAATGTGCTTAGAATTAGGGAGTGAAAGGTATTTAATTGACCGATGCTGAAAAGTAGAGAAATTCTTCACAAAATATTAATTTTCGCCGTAAATTGCACCTTTTTTGCATTACGGGATCTGTAGCATTATGGTCAAAGACAAATATATAAAACCATAACGCTACAGATCTGCAGCTAGCAAGAGGTATAACATGTATAATATTAATTTTAGATTGTATTTCAAAAGTCAAAAGTATAAAGAGGTACAGAAATGTAAGTAAAAATTCACGTCGCAAATTGATGTTTGTAGTTGAAAATTTTGATAAAATAACAAATATTGAGAGGGCGGAGCTCTTACACATGAGAAGTACATGTATAAATGCGACAGGGAAGGATTTCTCTTTAGAAATTCCGACGAGTTGTGTCTTCTCTGTTATATTTATACAGGTAAGAGATTTTTTACAAGCTTTCGTATATAATTTTAATAAAAGCTAAGTTTCAGATTGTTAAGTTTCAGTTGGCTCATTTTCTTTACAGGAAAAGATATTTTATAATGTTTAATATTTCTTGTACTATTTATTGTGTTGAATGAAGTTGTTTAAAATATAAAATGGATTGTAAAACTAAAAAGAAATTCCGACGAGTTGTGTCCTCTCTGTTGTATTTATACAGGTCATTACTCAGAACATGAGGGCCAACCAGTTTCCAAGAGGGGAGAAATGAAAGCTTTGGTAAATAATTGGTCACTGGTCAAAAGAGGTGTAAAAGAGTGATTCAGTTGGTTAACCTTTCACTGCGGAATTTAATAAGATCCTGGTGGATATCAAACATATGCATGAGTGGCCAATTGTCATCGGGACTCTGCCTTTCTAAACCTTTGCTGGTTGGGATATAACATCAATTAAAGGCTGGAGTCCAGAATGAGGTTGACCCGGTTATGATATAATATATTATATATTACTTGACCTACTATATAAGTTATAAATTGTAGGTATTTTGAACTTTTTCCTGATTCATAATACGTTATAATAGTTTTGAAAATCCCGTAACAGTTAAGCCGTTTACCTGGTCACAGTATCACTATATCAATTGTAACTAGGCATTCGATCTGAATTGATGTTTCCCGATTCTTTTATTAATTTTCAAAATCACGAAACAGTCAAAATTATTACCTTACCTACTATATAAATTGTTATTAGGCACTTTGAACCGTTTCCTGATTCATTGTAATGTTTTCCGATATCATAAAACAGTCAAACTGTCTACCCGTCACAGAATGAACTGTTACATGGCCGAACCGATCCATTTTGACGACATAATTGTTTACTCCTACAATAATGAGTTTTGTAGGAAATACAGCATTTTCGTTGCATTTCAATTGAATTAATAATCATTTGAAAGGTAATCCCAATACTGAAGGTAAAAGGTCAAGGGGTCAGAAATCTTAGCATGGTATTTTGTCACAGGTAATGTATAAATCAAATATGAAAGTCCTATCTCTTCTCAATGAAAAGATATCAGGAAAAATATTTTAAGATTTTTTAAAAGAGATCAAACATCAAGGTTCAAGGTCACAGGATCAAAATCATGGTGCATTTTGAAAGATCTTGTCAGAGGTTATGTGATATGAAATCTTTCAAATGTTATGGCCAAGGTTTAAGTTTTTGAAAAGTAAGGCAAACTTCAAGGTCACGAGGTAAAAAAACAAATCATAGTGTATTTAGACAGGCCTTTTAGACAAAAATTGTATGAAAGTCCTCCATCATTCAAAAGTTATGGCCAATTCAACGGAATGTTTGAAGTTTTGAAAATAAGGCCAAACTTCTTATCAAATATATATTACCAAGGTTCAAGTTTTTGTGAGAGGCGGACAGACTATATAAAAGACGGACAGACGAATGAGATTAAATGTCCCTTCGATTTCACGAAAGCAGGGGGGCAATAATTGATCAGTTTTAATTCAAAAAATTAAATACATGTATATACATATACTGTATATTGCATTGCATAACTTACCTGAGTTGAGTCAGGCGAAAAGGGACCTTCGTGACAAATTTTTCGAAAATCGATATTTGACCGGTTCTAAAAGAGCTAGTTTTTTTTTCTGAATGTTTTTGATACATTTTTTTTTGTTATATACCTTTAAAATTCTAATTAAAACTCGAAATGAAAACAATGCAATGCTACAAAGATAACGATATATTTTTAACATTGAATAATGTCACATAATGTCATTGATAATTGGAACGTCATTACAAAATCACAGCTTAAATTGTATTGGCTAGAGTTTTTTAAAGATGTATTTTTTTCAATTCTGAATTCTAGCATTTATATGATCGTATACATTGTAAAATGGTGATTAGGTTGTTTAAGAAAAAGAAATAACGTATGGACATGGACATGTATACTGAAATAATAATTTTTGTAGTAAATTTTCCAAGGAATTTATGCAACGATAACATCTCATTTTTTCTACATTATCAACATAATCATGCTTTAATCTCTGGAAATTTGTAATTGAAAGGATCCTTGACAAGGGGATTTGCAGACCACTGACCATACAAAACCAAAGAAGTTCTTACTCTGAAATCATCATCACAAAGCATTCGTAACAACACGGCCATTTTCCAAGAGAGAAATGACATTATTTATTGTTCAAGGAAATGACCGAGTAGTTACGATTGCTCGCAAGGGGGTAAATTATCCTGGTTCCCTGTCCCTGTTTTGCTTCGTAAACTCCGTGTCACTAGGGTACGTTCGATTTGGGAACCCGTGTCACACGTGTCTTACTCTCCGCAAATAAAACACCGGGAGTATGACTCGAGTGTCGGACCCGAGTGGCGCGAGTATACTCTCCAATTTTTTGGGAGTAAACGTGTTCCAATATGGCGTCGGGTGGAGAAGAACAGTAAGTTTGCATTAACAAAATGATATTTCTAAGACATAATACCGTTTTATGCACATGAATCTCGATTGCATATATTTAATAGGATACGAATTGATATAGTTTATGCAACAAGGCTCACTCACTGTCAGTATTACGTCTTAAAATCGAAATTTAATTTTTAAGCGCCACTTTTACGCCGAAAGTGTTATGGGTTAACTAGATAATAATAATACAGGACGAAAAAAATGCTCAGGTCCCTCCTGTAATGTGTGCAGATTTTCAATATTTCATAATTTGACTTAAAAATTACTAAAGTTTGTAATCATTGATTTTGCACATAAACATTTCTGAGATATTAGGCCACAATATAGGCCTACTATTAATCTTTTTACTATACTATATATATTTATATATTTTTTATTCAAAGGCTTTTCAAAATTTCCGTGACCGACGGAGGAAAAATTTATCAAGTAGTTGCAGATTGCAACCTGGTAGAAATGCTGAACTCAGATGGTAAGTGATTGTCAGTCAGTAACCAAAAAACATAATTTTTTAAAGTATATTATAAGCTGTTACTATATTTTAAATGATACATGCATAAAAACTTTGTGGGTTTTTAGGTTGAATTTTAAGTATCCTGCATACAAACCATTTCCTTAAAATATGTGACAGAACTGTTTTTTAGGTAGTTTTGTTTCGCAAAGTGAATATTACTATTGCATAACTATGCCAATTTTGATTATCTTGATTTATAATAAATATTTTAAATAATTCTATCTCTATATCAGAATGATGAAAATAAAATGATCCATGATGAGATAAAGTTGCTATTGTTGAAGGTAGTATTTTGATTTTATTGCAGATCAAGAGAGAAGAAAACAGGCTCTTGATTTTATCAAAAGTACCTCAGGCTGTCAAGGTAATTAAATTGTAGTACCATTCTTACACTGATCAAATCTCCTATAGCAATGCTATTTGGATTGTAAGTGCTTAAAGAGCTGTACAGATGTGTGCCCCAAAAGTGAAGATAATTCTATTTTATCTCTCTATGTTTCATTGAACACAAAATTTTTTAAAATCACTGGTATGACAACATTTCTTGACAGTTTTCATCACAATTTTTTTATAGTCCAAGACATTGTTGTAGTTGATAAAAACAATTTAATAGTTTTTATCTGATCAGCATTGATAATTTAAAAATATTGTAATTTGAGTGTGACATGAATTTTTAAGTCACATACTCACAATTTATGAATTATATAGTCAACGTTGATCTTGAATTTTAGAACTGATTCTAAGTGATGAACTGTCTTTTACTATAAATTAAATTAAGTTCAATTAAAATTAAGTTGAAATTAAATATGTGATGAACTTTCAAGGAACTTTTAGAGAAAAAATAAATTTATCACTTTTGGCACACAACTGTAGATGCTCAGGGTTCCAGATAATTTTTATGCGCCTGGATCTTGTGAGGCGTATATTGTTTTTATGTAGTCTCTTTGTCTGCAAACTTTTACCTTCGTCATAACTTTTGAAACATGAATGAAAGAGACTTCATATTGAGTATGCATACTCCACTTATTAAACTCTTTCAAATGACACCAAGGTCAATGACCTTTTGACCTTGACTGTGACCTATATGCTTAAAATAGCTTTTTTTTAAACCTTCACCATAACTTTTGAACCATGAGAGATAGAGACTTCATATTTGGTATGCTTACTTTACTTATCAAGTTCTTTCAAATGACAATGACCTTGTGAACTTGACTGTGACGAATATGCTAAAAATATGTTGTTTTTTTTTTACTTTAGTACCGCCGGGCAAATTTTTAAGTGTTTCTCAAACACATCTTGTTTTTTATTTTATTAGGTCAATGTGTATTTTGATGTTAAATGATTCAGTACTACCAAAGATTATTAAGAAATTTTGTGTAATTTGTCATGCCATATTGCCACTCAATAGAGAATATATAACTTTATTATTTTTGTAATTTTAGGAGAGAGTAGCAATGATAAAAGGACACAAGAGGAGAAAGATGTTACTGATGTGAAAAATTGGTCAAAAGAGGACATAAAATGTCTTTTTGACATCAGAAGACAAAAAGAGAAACAATTTAATGGAAGCAAGGTCCACAAATCCCTTTGGGATACTATATCACATGAACTCTCTGACCTCGGTATTGCAGCGACTGCAACCCAGTGCTCTAACAAATGGAAAGCCATGAAAAGGGAATACAAAAAGACTGTTGATAACAATTCCCGTACAGGTGCAGAAAAGAAAACATGTCCTTTTCATGACGATTTCGGAGAACTCTATGGTAACAAAAGTGGAACAAGACCACAATATGTGATGGCTTCCAAAAAGGTAAATACTGAAGATGACAAGGAAGATTCTACATGCAATTCAGGATCATCACCAGAATCCTCCTCTAAGACATCAACATCATCATCATCGTCATCTGCTGCAAAGAAGATCACAAAACGAAAAAGAAAAGATCAGTTCTCGTTACTAGAGGAATACACTAAAGGACAAGAAAAATATCGTAAAGAGAGGTTCGAGCTCGCAAAAGAACAGCACACAGAAAAAATGAATTTAATGGGAAAACTTATTGAATGTTTGCAATCAAAACAGGCCAAAACTGATAAAGATGATGAGTAAAGCATTAATATCTACGTTGTATCAATAATATGCTTATTTCTACCATTTTAGATTTGGTATCAACTTAAAGGAATTTTATGATTTCCAAAAATATGACCAAGATTACTGCAAAGACCTACAATTGTACCTTATGCCTACTCCCACTAAATGTTTCAATTCACCAGTTTCATACGTAACACCTATTGTCAACTCTGACTGTGAAAATATGGATGAAGATGTGTCTTCACAGCAATTGTCAACCAAGTGTTTCACTCCTCAGACATTACTCATTGAAACAGGTTTAAATATTGAGCATGTGTCTGATACAGTCAGTATTCAGATCGGGAACATCACTTTTGTTCCTATCAAGGAATTTCATTGCATGTTAACATGTGCATTAGAAAAATATGTTTTATCTCTGTCCTACAATGTTGAAGAAGTGCAAGATGAGCAACTTTTTTCATAATTTCAGGAAATGTTTGAATTTCTTAATTATTTGTTTATGTGATTTGTTCTGAATTAACATATTTCCAGGACAGCTCAGATGTTAGAATTGCTACATTAAAATAATAGCACAAGCTTATATGGTATGGATTAAATGATGATTTTTTTTTTGTTCACAAAGATGAAAAAATCATGTTCTTCATTTGTTTTACCTGTTATTGTGTTCATAAATTATTTTTGTTGATTCATGATGCCAAAGATAAGGCTTTTGTTACTTTTATTTCATGTGCCAAAGAGGTTGATTATTTTGCTCACCTGAGCTGGCCAAATGGCCTTTTGTTATACAAACTTGTCCCATTATGTCATTATTATGAATGTTGATTTTATTGTAAACAAAACAGTTTTTTATTTTCAATAAATTTTTATTTTTCTGATGTCTTTTATTTAAGTGGATCACAAAGTCTGTAAATACTGAACAATCTCATTGCGACGATGTACACCGGGTTGGGGCATTTGCATACAATTGGCCATAATTGTTAACATTGTTGTCAGGAAAATTGTTGTCGAGTATGTCATTCACTGAATCATTTGAAAGTATACAAATGTTATGAAGCACACAGCATGCTGTAATAGCTTTACATGTTCGCTCCACATCAAAACAAGGTAAACTTGTAAGCCTCCTGAAACGACACTTAAGTAAACCAATTCCTCTTTCCACAGTTTGACGAGATGTACTCAGTTTTCTATTGAAATGTCTTTGTGCAGCAGTGAGGCGTCCATTATCTCTAAAGGGAGTAATTAAGTATGGCTTAAGAGGATATGCCGAATCTCCTATAACAGAAAAAAATATGGATATAAATAAACAAGGAATTAAGCAAATATCTAGGGACAGAATCATAGTTATATAGAGAATGCTTTTAGCTCTACTGGTTGAAGTTCGGAAGAGTTTATGGGACTGTGAGGGTTTGTCCATCAATCTGTCTGTAAACAGTTTTTCATAATGGTACTTCTCCTACAGTTTTGGGATCAATTCAAATAACAAAATACAAGTAGACTACATTAAAATATATAATTCTGTGTATCCGTTTTTATTTTGATGAGCAGTGCTGCCATGGTTACTAAATATTGAAATTTCCTTCATTATAAGTATAAACCAGTAGAACTACAGTCTTATCCGAGACTTCTGGATCAGAAATACATTTATATAGATTATTTTGAATAAAGATCATACCAATTATGAATATATTTGGGTTGAGCATCGCATTCTCCAATTCCTCATAGATTGGCGAGTTTCTAAAAACGCGGGAATCATGAGTACAGCCTGGCCAGCCAACGAAACTATCAGTTATTAGCAGCATATGGTCAACAATGACCTGGAGTTGAATCGAGGGGTATCTCTTGCGGTTGATGTAATCTGTATCTTCAAATGAAACATTTGTTAATGTAATATGAGTCCCATCAATTATTTCAGCTATGCCAGGTATTTTGCACTCAGCTTCAAAATGTTCTGATATTTCTTGCTGTCTTTGAAGATCTGGCCATGTTATAACTCTGCTACGAATTGAGCAAAGGGCCTCACACACATCGTGAATACATTCAAATACAGTCGATTGCGAGAGGCCAAACAGCAAGGCAATTTCTCTCATACTTGTATTATTACAAAGGTACCAAATACATATCATAGTTCTTTTCTTAGGTACGATTGGCTGTTTGCCCATTGTTCTGACAATCTTTGAAATATTCGGTTCTATCTCTTGTAATATTCTGTTAAAAGTTTCTTTTGTGAGTCTAAAATGACGTTCAAAATCATTGGAAGACAATCTGGGAACAACCTCTTCGAAAAAACTTTGGACAGACGGGACGTTATCTCTCCGAAAAAAACCTACTATCAAGTAGAAATGGGAAAACATCATCCTGATCTTCTTCTACGTCGTCTTCTTCTAGAAAATAATCAATTGTAATAACTAAACCAATTTTATCAACCATTTTTGTTTACATTAGTCTTGACTCGAGGCATTCGATTAGTACTAAATGTTTTCACGAGTTGCGCATGCTCAACCTCAACACGGGTGTCTGAAGTGTTGCTCAAATCGAACGTACCCTAGGCCTTGGCAAGGATGAGACAGGGAGCAGACTTATATGAGGGGGTAAATCGAATATCTGACATCACTTTTCATGTAGTGAGGTCTAAGGGACTCCACTTAGCACCACAGAAACCAAGTAAAAGCACGAGCCTCATTGGTCGGGAAAGGATGGAAAAGAATTTACAAATAATCTTGACATAAGCTAGATCTAGCTATTTCAAATAAATTTTAGACAAAATTGAAAAAATTCAAAGGCGATAGTTTTATAGTACAACTGTTTTTATTCATAACTTTAAACTAATTATGACATATTTTTCTTTACATACAGTATTGAAAAAAATATTAACAAGAATTTAGACAGGAGAGTACAACAAAGCTTTAATAGATGAATTTACAATTTTGTGATTTTAGATGGAGAAACTAAAGATCAAAACCTGTAAAAATAACTCGGGTGTCCCCTCCTGGGTCCCAAATATTCCTTCAAACAGATAACATTTACAATTATTTTTTATTACACACTTAGTAATAAATACAGGTTTTTTGCATATGCGATATGGCTGACGTCACAATAGCCGTATCAACCCTGCAGGGCTGATATGGATTTGCGGGGCTGATATCCGTATCAGCCCTGCAAATCCATATCAGCCCTGCAGGGCTGATACGGCTCTTGTGACGTCAATATCACACCCTTAGTAAATAAAACCACAATAACAGTACTTGTACTCATACACAATTTTTGGTGGGTTCATATTCCCTAATTTTAACTTTTTGAAAATAAGGTTAATCTTAATTTACAAATACATGTAATACTATAGAATATTTTCAAATTACGGATCAAGTGCATTGAAATAGAAATAGAAACAAACCCAAATCTTATAAGACATTAGACTATGTACAAGTATGTAAGAAGTCCATGCATTATTATTTACTTATTTTCTTCTCAACTGTATTTTATTACTAAGTATGGAATAAATATAATAAAACATACCCTTTTCCACATCACATCCTGTATCAGCCCTCGACCAATATCAGCCCTCGGGCCTTCGGCCCTCTGGCTGATATTGGTGTCTCGGGCTGATACAGGATGTGATATGGAAAAGGGTATGTATTATTCTCTATAAACTTAATATACATGATATTTTGCACAGGTGGTCTGGGCGTCTGAAAACTGAAAAAAGAAAAAGAAAACCACTGTATTATAGACAACGAGAAGAGGAAGGAAACAAACAAGAAAATGCTGGTAAAAAGGTCATTGTTGAAGACAATGGTCTTTTCATTTATCAATAAAAATTATCAATAAAAAAATCAACATAGGTTTAAAAATTTATATTTTGTCCATTACAATGTCGAAATTCTAAGAATGTTTGAGCATATACACCTTGTCCTTATTCTACATTTTATGAAATATTATTACTTAGCCTTATTTTGAATGCCGAGTAATTGGCAAGTATAATTATCCAACTATCAATTTTTGAAGTAGAACAGATAAAGAGTAAATAAGTGATTGAGAAAGTCACATAAAAAGGTATAGTATCTTACTTTAGGAACTGGATTTTCCTCCACCGCAACTAAAACAAGATGTGTTTGTGAAACACAGATGTCCCCGTATGGCAACATAGTAAAGATTCAGCATTTCTTAAATGCTAACTTAATTAATTGGTAACAAAAGTAGGGTATTCTCACTGGAAAACAATTGTGAAATTTGAAAATAAGCCAATGTTTAAGTTTTTTTCAATAAGTACAAAAATCTCCAAGGTCACGGTAAAAAGGTCAATGTAATTGGTATCAAATGAAAGCTCTTGCAACATAGAATACTTATGGAGAGTATGGAAGCCCTAGCCCTTACCGTTCAGAAGTTATGGCCAAGACTAATTTTTTTAAAAGTAGGTCAAACTCCAAGGTCAAGGTCAAGGTCATAGGGTCAAAGTTCTTGTTATCAAATGAAAGGTCTTGTCACAAGAGTTAAATATGTAAAGTATGAAAGCAATAGACCTAACAATTTAAAAGTTACGGTCAATGTTTGCATTTTTTAAAAGTAGGCCAGTATCAAAGATCAAGGTCAAAGGGTCAAAATTCTTGGTATTCAAAAAAAGGTCTTCTCACAAGGATTACGCATATGAACTGTTAAAGCCCTATCCCTTACCGTTCAAAAGTTATGGCCAAGGATAAAGTTTTTTCACAAGTAAGGAAATCTACAAGGTCAAGGTCAAAGGGTCAAGGTTGTTGGTATGCAGTGAAAGGTCTTTCAACAAACATTACATATGTGAAGTATAAATGTCCTGGTGTCTACTGTTCAAAAGTTATGGTCAAATTTCAATTTCTTAAAAAAGTAGGTCAAACTCCAAGGTCAAGGTCAAAGGGTTAAAGTTATTGTTATCAAATGAAAGGTCTTGTCATAAAGATCAAATATGTAAAGTATGAAAGCACTAGCCTTAATCTTTAAAAGTAAGGGTCAAGGTTTGCTTTTTTAAAGTAGGCCAATCTCAAAGGTCAAGGTCAAGGGGTCAAAGTTCTTGGTATCCAAATGAAGGGTCTTCTCACAAGGATTACATATATGAAGTATGAAAGCCCTATCCCTTACCGTTCAAAAGTTATGGCCAAGGTTAAAGTTTTTTCACAAGTACGGAAATCTAAAAGGTCAAGGTCAATGGGTCAAAGTTGTTGGCATCCAGTGAAAGGTCTTTTAAAAAACATTACATATGTGAAGTATTAATGTCCTGGTGTCTACTGTTCAAAATATATGACCAAAGTAAAATTTTAAAATTTTCATGTAAAAGTGGGTCAAACTCCAAGGTCAAGGTCAAAAGGTCAAATTTGGTGGTACCCAAAGAAAGGTCTTGTCACGAGGTATACACATGTGAAATATGAAAGTCATAGCTCCACTAAATCAAAAGTTATGTACAAGGTTAAAGTTTTTGCGGACAAACAGACAAACAGAGAGACAGACAGACAGAGGGACACGACAAAAACTATATACCCCCGAAACTTCGTTTACGGGGGCATCAAAAGAAAAGTCCTTTGATATTACAAACTAAATACATTGTAGTCTTAAGTGTCTGTTTTAGATTGACCATCACATCATCATTATTTTGGCCATATCTTTTGAACAGTAGATACCAGGACATTTATACTTCACATATATAATGTTTGTTGAAAGACCTTTCATTGGATACCAACAATCTTGACCCTTTGACCTTGACCTTTTAGATTTCCCTACTTGTGAAAAAACTTTAACCTTGGCCATAACTTTTGAACGGTAAGTGATATGGCTTTCATACTTTATATATGTAATTCTTGTAAGAAGACCCTTCATTGGATATCAAGAACTTGACCCTATGACCTTGACCTCTGAGATTGACCTACTTTAAAAAAGCAAACATTGACCATAACTTTTATTTTGGCCATATCTTTTGAACAGTATATACCAGGACATTTATACTTCACATATATAATGTTTTTTGAAAGACCTTTTATTGGATACCAACAATCTTGACCCTTTGACCTTGACCTTTTAGATTTCGTACTTGTGAAAAACTTTAACCTTGGCCATAATTTTTGAGCGGTAAGTGATATGGCCTTCATACTTTATATGTGTAATCCTTGTGAAAAGACCCTTCATTGGATATCAAGAACTTGACCCTATGACCTTGACCTCTGAGATTGACCTACTTTAAAAAAGCAAACATTGACCGTAACTTGTATAGAGTTAGGGCTAGTGCTTTCATTCTTTACATATTTGATTCTTATGACAAGACCTTCCATTTGATAACAAGAACTTTGAACCTTTGACCTTGACCTTGAAGTTTGACCTACTTTTTAAAAAAAATTAACGTGGGCCTCAACTTTTGAATGGTTAGGGCTAGGGCTTTCATGCTCTACATAAGTCATCTATGTGGCAAGACCTTTCCTTTGATACTAACTACATTGACCTTGACCTTGGAGATTTTTGTACTTATTAAAAAAAACTTTTACATTGGCCTACTTTCAAATTTCACAATTGTTTCCAGTGAGAATACCCTACTTTTGGTACCAATCAATTGCATTTAAGAAAAGTTTAATCTTTGCTATGTTGCCATACGGGGCCATCAGTGTTTCACAAACACATCTTGTTTTCTTATGAAATGCTATAAATGGAAAGTTTCTATGAATATCAACGTCTTTAATTGGTTAGTTATGGGAGAAATTTTGTGACTTTGATTTCTGACAACAATGAAAATGGCAAAAGTTCTTTGTTTTTGGAAGGATTTTTGTGTTTAAAAACTCTAAATTCTCTTAAGTTTCCAAAGATTTTTTATGGATTCGTC